CAAAGGTGAACAGCTGAGGAGCTTCTTAACAAACAGGAAAATAAAGTTAAATTTAAAAGAAAAAGGGGAAAAAAAAAAGAAAGCCTGATAAATATAATCTGCTTGGTAGAACAGCTCCCTGTGCTCTCCAAACAAATCAATTTTCAGTGCCTTGTTTTGACCAGTTACAGTTTTTAGTTGGCCTAAAAGATTCTGCATGTACTGCTTTTAATATTTAGTGTTCATAGTTTGTTTTTAATTAAGGAAAAAAAACCCCAACAAACCAAAAACAACCACCCCTCATCCCTGACAAACCAGGGTCTGTGGTTGTTCCACTGTGACTTCAAAGGGACTGTAAGACAGCTTTTCCTTACAGACAATTGAGTGGTTAGTCTCAGACAAATAATTTATTGTAATTCTGAAGGTTGTTCTGTATTTCACTATAGTGGAATGCACTTCCCTAGACAGACTGAAAAAATACAAACTTATTTCATATTTAGGTATTTGAATGTCATATTGTAACTGTTATTATTGTGTTGCTTTTCAGGGTGAGCAGCAAGAAGAAAATCAAGCTCTTGCGTAACAGTACTGGGGCAGTTTTTACTCCATTTTGATTTTGCTGTGAGGTTATTGTGAACTGTAAAGAATTACTGTAAGTTGTGTGAAATTCCATGGTGTGTTGAGCAGCACATTAAACTTAATTACCTGAAGTTTTCTTCTGTTATTTTAATGTTAATAAAGTGTGTGGAGTGGATTATTTCCCTGGGAGAGTCTCTACAGAGTTCTCTGTACAGCAGAGGGGCAACAAAAAAGAACAAGCCAGAATGCTCATGGTACTGCTAAACTTAGTCAGAATTTAATAACTTTTTGTAGGTTATCTTAATGACTGAGTTCCTTACATTTTATTTAAAACTCAAAAGGGTTAAGATAGAAATAATCTAGTGTCAGTTGCAGCATAGTGTGCTTCCATCTGAATGTGTTTCTTGGAATTCTCTTTTTTAGGAAAGAAATATAACATGTCTCATATATTGGAAGGCATTTCTGCAGTTGATTGAGTCCCTGAAAAATGATGGGTAAAAATGCTGGACTGTAGATTGCATTGTGTTGGTGCCTTGGAAAAAATGAGTAATTGAGATCAGCTACTCAGGTGCTTATCTAAAATCTTTTGTTATTGAATAATTTGATATCTTACTTTGGCTTTTAATAATACAAAAGCTGATGTACATGAGCTGATACAAGATGCACCTTAATTATTTTCTTCTGTAACAAAGATGAAATAAGTGGAGTACTTTCAGTAACTGAAGTTCTACAGAACGGTGTTGGTGGTTCTGAATCTGTTTTGTAGTTACCAAGTGTGAGTAATCCTGGAAAGGTTTTGAACCGAGACGCTGAGCTTGGTATGATGTTCAGGTTATTCAGTGTACGCTTGTCAGAAAAACAGAAACTTCCAGTTTTCTGATTTTAACTTTTTTTTTTTTTTTTCTTTAACCACACACTTGCGTAAGCTTTCAGGTCTTGATCTTACAGTATTGAAGCCAGCTGGGCTTTCCCACCAACTTACACTAGAACAGCCTTTCAGTGGGGAGAAATTCCCCTAATTAGATCATTAGATCATTATACTCGGCATTCCATTTTTCAAATGAGCTACTTCACTGGCTGTAAGAAACTGCTCTTGCTCTTAAATATTATCTTGATGCTTTTGAAATATCCGAATTCAGTGTTGCTTTATGAACAATAGATTTTTCTCTAAATTCTGCACAGATCTTTAAAAACAAAAAGTTGGGAAGGCAGTTTTTCGAGACTTTGTCAAGATGAAAATGCCACTTCCTCTGTATTTGTGTTCCCTCTTTGCTCTGTAGCTTTCAGATTTTTCTTTGACTACCAAACACTGATTCATGTAAATAACTCAGTTTGGCTCATGGAAGAAGTGTGTCTGGTGACACTTACTCTGAGTGAAGTGTCTTCCAGTGCTCTCAGATTTTCAATTCCTGGTGTCATTACAGTGAAGAGGGAAGAGGACTCAGCCTTCCATTATGTTTTCCTCCAAAGTCTTCAAGATCCAAAGAATCCACAACTGTGGCATGTTCTCAGCCAGTTCAACCTCGTTCTTGTCCCTTTTTAAATGCACCCTGCAAATATTTCTCTTATTTAACATCATACTGTTATACAAGTGGAATAATACTGTCAGTGCCTGTTCTCTTGAGTTGCACTCACTATGTAAATTACTGGTAGAATGATTATTCTTGTTCATAGTACTGGAGTATAGTACCATGAATCCCTTACTAAGGCTTCCCCCTAACTTCCCACTACACTGGAACTTCATGCTGAAGAAAAATCTAGAGAAAGTAGACTTCTAAACATTTCCTTTTTAATACAGTGTGACAGATGATTTGGGTTGCTATATGAGCATATGCTTCTGAACATCTGACTTCTGTAGAGCAGAATATTATCATTGTTATTTTCCTGTAAAGTTAGCAGAATGGTGAATGGAAATGATTCTGAAACAAGATTTTTTTCTTCTGATGGATGTGCAGTGGCTCTGCGTTAGTCAAAATGGCTAAATAAGGCTTTCTGCTCCTGTAGGTCTGTGGGAATTGTGGAATTTGACTTGTTCAGATGTCAGAACTAAACCCATAAGAATTACTTACCCTCTTACTCCAATGATACAGTAAAAATGTACATTTAGGAGAATTACTTTAAGCAGAATAATAAGTTACGCTGTTGGTAATACTGAATACTTAGGGCGTAAACCTATAATGTTGAACAAGAAAATTTTCTGTAAGATTTATAGTGAAAGGCAAATAGTAGCTATAAAAACACCAAATTTTGGTTTTATTTTGTGTTTGTAAAGTGGACTTAGTATGCCAATTGATTTCCTTAGAACTGTGGATCTATCAAATCTTTTGCAGTGTCAATATTTACATACATAAACTGGGAACCTTCATCCAAATGAGGGCTGTTTGGTGTTTAACTTAAATTTCAAACCATTTGTTAAAGAATTGAAGTTACAATGCAGTGGTTTTCATAGTACTAACCTAATTTTCTATTACTTTGCCTTCACAAGAAGCTATTTTTAAAATCCCAATACCTACAACTGTGCTTATAGGTCACAAAATGTAGTATCACCTGAAAACTTTGTGTGTCTTGCTGGGAAAAGGTAGTCTGGCCTATATTGTGATTTACTTTTGTAGTAAAAAAACCCTACAAAACAGGAGGAAAAATTGCTAAAATAGCTCTTGCAGATGTCTTGGTGAAATAAGGAGTTTTGCAGATCATCACAGACGCACACCAGAGGGGAGTAGAACTGAGGTGAGATTCTGGAATAGGGTACTTAAAGAAACAGTGTTTCAATGCCCTGTTTTCTTGACTTTTGAAATTGCTGTTTAATTCTCTGGCTCTTTTTTTACTCTCACTGCTTACAAGTCTGTAAAGCCTGATAAGACAGTCAAGAGGAATGCTGCACTAAGGCACATTATTTAAGAATATAACAGGGATGCAGGAATATGGTTTTATTCTGAATTCTTCAGGCTTAGTAGATCATCATGGGTTTAATTTTGTAAAATTGAAATATTAAATATGACTTTTATAAGCCATGATCATTTGCCTGATTTAATAGGATGAAATACTATCATCAGTGTGATGATGCTTGTTATTACTTTGGCAAGAGGCTTTCATGTCTTGTGTCTGTTAGTGAGAAGTCTTTTGGGCTTTTAAATCATGACACCCCAAACAATTTTCAGCTGTGTGTCATGTTAAGCGTTCTCATGAGTCACTGCTCAGAATACTGATCAGTGGATAGCAGGAAGGGGAATGCATCAAAGGAGGAATTCCAGGGGTAGGAGAAGTGGAGCTTCAGTTTGAGATGTGTAAATGAAATGTGGGTCAGAGAGGAATGGTGAACCTGAGCGCTGCTTGTGGTTTGAGTGGCCTGTGCCAGGACAAGCCTGCTTCCTCTCTTTCCCCTGTCTCAGCAGAAGTGATTAATTTAATGTATAATTCCAGAGAGATTCCTCACCACTACAGCACTCAGAGGCCTGGCAGTGAGCATTGTGGTTTCACAATGCTCAGGATTCAACAGATAAACTGGACACTTCTGACATCAGGTAGAGCTGATGAGTGTGAGAAGTTACACCTTCACCACCTCACTTAGGTCATAGAGCAATACTTCTTTCTGTAGTTCTTGTGCATAAATGTAAAGCTGACTTGTATTTAAGATTCCAAGATCAGTCTGCTCTACTCAGTGCTGTTTGTAATCATGCTCTGTATGCAGTGTTTGGTGGAGCTGTATCCAAAGCCTGCCCAGGGTATCTAGAAACAGAGAGGGCAAGAGTTTGTGTGTGTGTGTGTGTACACAAACAGCCCCTCCCTCCAGTTTGTTTTATGAAATCTTTAACATGGATTGAAAGGGACCTCTGAAGGTCATCTCATCCACCCTGCTCCAAGCAGGGCTGACTTCAGGTTTGGATCAGTTTACTCAGACCCTTGGCCTCCTGAGAACTTGGGTATTTTACAGAATTTTGTAATGTTGTTTCATGAAACATAGTATCCAGAATGGTTTCAGCTTGCATGGCTGTTTTCCATTTTTCTTTTTTTACTCTTATTGTAGTAGTCAAAGTCTTGATCCATGGCTTTTAAGATACGTGACCTGACAGTATGGGAACCCTTAAAATACATTAATGGGAGCAACTTAATATAGCTACAGACAATTTCTGATTTGAATAGTTTTGTCTGTGCTAGGTAACTATGTGTGTACTTGGAGATGTTTTAAGATGTATCAAAGATCTTTCTTTCTCTGGCTTTAGGAGAGGATATGGTCTGAAGTGAGATAACCACAGACACTGTGTTAAATAATCTTTTTTATGTGATTACTATTGTGTATTTGTAAATATCTCCTATCCATAGTAGCAAAAATACGTTGGTGAAGGTGTATGCAGTAAAGAGAGATAGTACAAAATTAGGGTCTCTTGTATGGACATATGCTGCTATTTAACTTCATTACATTGGTTCTTTGGCTTCAGTCAGCTTAAGTGACAAACTGCATATGCTTTCCTAAAAAAATGTTTGGGTTAGATATTTTAAATATAACTAAAGAAGTAATTGTTTTTCAAGATAGGCTATTCTTTTCTGAAGTTAGTATGTATTCCTATTCTTCATCTCCACATACCTGGAATATCTGTTAAATCTCATCCTTGCTTTTCCTGGTTCTCTGCACAAATTTCTTTCCCCTCTTGTATGCTCCTTCTTGGTTGGTCATTCTTGGTGTAGACATCAGAAGACATTTCAGCAGAAGAATTTTGTCCATGTTTGTAAGCTTTGTTTAAATAATAATTTCAAATCAGGTTTTGACATGACCTATTTTTCAAATGAATACAGTAACACTAACACAAGAAGTGCTATCTTCAGTGGAAACAAATAAAATCCTATTGTAGTAGGATTTTTTTTTGAATTTAAAAAAATCCATCAAGGGATAAACTCAACCTGGCTTTGAGTATGGTACAATAGTATTTAGCTTGTGATTCAGCTGTTGATCTGGGATGACTTAAAGTGACTCTCTACAGAGAAGCTCTGATAATTCTTGTGCTGGTTTAAATCCCAAATTAGATAAAAGTACTTGGGGATAATAGACTGCAACATATTTAATATATCCCAATGACTTGTCTTTCCTTTTCTTTTCCAGGAGGGCAGATGAAAGTGCAGGTTGCAGTAGATAATTCTCATAGGTGAAAATTATTGTTGTCTGTAACATCCTGATTCAGTGTGTTGTGTGGGCTTGCAGATATGAGCTTGGGTAAGATTTGAGCAAAAATACCTCACCAGGTTGTGTTTTGCTTGGGTACTTTGCTATAAATTAAGACAGCTGCAGGTGTGTTCTGTGAATGTGTAGAAAAAATAACTGTTCCTCTAATTCATGTAGCTGTTGTCTCCCTATATCTAAAATAGTCTGAAATTAGCATTTTTTTAAAGACTAATCATACTATAAAGATTTGCATAATTTTATTTCCAGATTGATGATTTATAAATAAATATAGGAAATGCAGGAATAAGGTACTTTTTCTTCTCTTTTAGGACAGCTTCCAAAAGCCATAGCCAGGAGAGGATCTCTGATGGAAGTCTAGAAATGCTCTAGTGAATGTGCACAGTGTTCCTGTCAGACCCCATTCCAAGGCTGTGCAGGGCTGCCAGGCTATCCAGGGTAACAGCGGCTCTGGGGTGGAATGGGAGCTTGGGCTCGTGTTCCAGCTTCCACAGCTGCTGCTGCTGCTCTCTCCTCTTCCTTTTCTAGTCTCCCCACAGCCTCTGACTCACTTTGTGAGTCCATGTGATAACCTGGAGACGGAGCTCACCTAAATACACCCTCGAAGGGTGGTATCTTTGATTGGGTTTTTTATTCCTGTCATTTCTTTCATGTGGTTTGTTCTCAGTCACACCAGGGAGGTGCTGGGAGGCTGGGAGCCAGTGGCAAACCAGGAAATGACACTACCACTGCAATCTTGGGATTCAACTGTGGGCTAAACATTGATCTGTGATGCGAAACACCTTTTCACTTTGTCATCGTGCATACACGGCGGAAAAAGCTCATCCAGCTATTCAGATTATTATGTCAAGTTACTCTGGGATCTTAGGCAAATAATACTTATTTTTGGTGACAAATTTAAAGCCTGTTGATCATTAGATATAGGATATCAAGGGTTTAGCTTAAAATTGGGCTTCCAGAATGCTGATTTTAAGAACTTTTTCCTTCATTTGCCTATTCCGCTTCATGCATTCCTAATAAAAAAAACCAAACAGGTGTTAAGAGGGAAAAAAAGAAGTTTGTGAGGATACTTAGTAGATGTTTTAAATTATCTTCTTTCAAATTTTTATTACTCTTTGATATCAGATCTTTGTGGTGTAAAATGGCAAAGGTGAGTTCCGAACTGCAGGGCAGTATTGATGTATTTAATGGTGAGGTGACACCAGGTGTTCCCAAAGAGGGCAAGTTTTTAAAATTCTGTATTGGGAACTGGAAGAAGATTGGAAGAAAAAAATATTATTAGATACAAAAATTGGATGTCCAGTGATCCTCTCTCCTTTTCTGCTTGTATCCATGCTAATCTTGGTTTATTCAGTTACAGCTGCTGTGAGTGATGTTTTTCTTCCTCTCTTGTGTACTAAAACCCTGCCTCTGCAATTACTGCAACTCTTTTATTGGGGAAAAATAGCCTTTCAGTCTTTTTTTACAAAGAAAGAAAATTATTGGAGTGAGATTTTCAGCTGCATTTACATGTTTGGGTTTGTTTAAAGACCGAACAGAATCCCAGGTGTCTGATTTTCAAAAAAAGTTGATAAACTGAATGAAAAATGTTATCTGTGGAAGAAATTGAAGACTCTTACTGGTGTTAATTACAGTAAGTATGTTCTTACCTGTATCTGATTTTTTCTTTAATCAAAATGGAGCAGAAATCAAAGAATGAGAATGCATAAATTATGTGACATTACAGAAACACATTTTGTTGTACAAGGGCTATTGAAATAGGAGACTTGAAAAGCCTCTGAGGTAGTGTGCTACCAGTTGCTGTACTTGTGGTGTTGTCATATGGACACCAACTCAATTGATAATGCTGCCTTCAAAGTTTGGCCAACCTGAGAGGGGGCCAAAGCCCCCTGCTTTGAAATTAAGAAAGATACCTTTATATTGAGCAACATTTCTCTTAAAAGCTGCAGAAAGTAAAACACAGAAAAAGGTCAGGCCCAAAGGTCAGGCAGCAAGGCCATCACTGGCCCCAAACTTGCAAATAAAATCATTTCTGGAGAGCTCTGAACCAGTATATGACAAGAAGTGTATTGAATGATCTGTCTCAGGTTAGTTTGTAGAATTGTGCTTACATCAATAATCAGTTAGATTCCTGCAAATAACTTCTTGCTATGTGTTTTCTGGTGAGAAAAACACAGCCTTATTAGGTAAAATAAAGGCAATTTGAGTGAAAAGTGCCATTAGGGATGTGATGAGGGAAAATACAAATAGTCCTTTGAAACTGATTAGAAGAAAGTTAAAAATTCATTAGAATCCTGGAGCCTGCCAACACACTAATTAATTAAGTTGTTGAGTTGCTGAGCTTCTCAAGTCATCCCCAGCCCTGACCAGCCCCAGGGCAGTAACAGCAGTCTGCAGGGCAGGGCTTGTGTAGCTGCTCTATTTACAGACAGGTTCTAAATTTAATAGAGGTTTACAAATATATTTTGGGTTAGAAACTTTAATGGTGATGTGTGAAAGTTGACTGATTTTATGTTTGTGTCCTTGGGAGAAAGGGCAATGTGTATGTGAGCTGCAACCTACTAATATTTCAACTCTATGTTAAACTCTCAATTTCTGTTTTTATTTATATCTAAGAAAACTGTTAGAAAGTGGCTGGATTTTATCTGTAAAGCTTTTGCACTTGGCAAGTTTCAGGTGGCATGAACAGCTTATAATAAGTAAAAAAAGTCCTGTAGTCCCATAGCTGATGCTGTGGAATGTTAATGCTGCAGTCCATCCTCAGAAAAGCTTCAAGTGCATTTTAAAATTTTAATTTATTATGGTCTATATATTTATCACACATATAGAAATGCTTCTCTTCATGTTAGCTTTCCATGATTTCTACTGAGCAAACTTTGCTCTTCTGTTGTTTTGTTTTGTTTTTTTTTCTGAGCCATATGTTAAGGGGAAGTTTAGGTCAGACAGTAGAAAAAGATTCTTCCCACAGGGGTGGGGAGGCTGTTGGGTATTGCCCAGGTTCCCCAGGGAATGGACACATGCCCAAGGCTCCCAGAGCTCCAGGGGAGCTGGGAAATGCTCTCAGGGATGCACAGGGTAGGATTGTTGGGGTGTCTGGGCAGGGCCAGAAGCTGGGCTTTGATGATCTCTGTGGGTTTCTTCCAGCCCAGGATATTTTATTCCCTTGTCCCAGTTTTGCACCTCACTCAGTGATTTAATAACAGGCAATGAAGAGCTGTGTATTGCTGACTGTAGTAACTGTAAATATTACAGACAAATAGTTCCACATTCCTCTTGTGTTCAGTTCTGTCACTATCCAAGCAGGCAGCTCCCATGGCAGCAGGGATGCCCCAGAGAATGCACTGGAATGGAGGGCACCTGGGAACACTGGTGAGAAACTCTGGATCCTCATCATGAGGTGGGTTGTTTATTTGGAGGTTGGAATACAGTTTATGGCATCATTCCTTTTCTGAGACTGAAATGAAAATAAAATATCAAATTAACCACAGGCTAATTCAATTAACAAAATAAATTGAGGTGGATGAGATGGGCTTTGAAGAACCCGAGTCTTCAGCAGAGAGATTTATTTCTCTGCTGAACATCTGTCAGTAATTACTGTCTGAGCATCGGTAGCTTCTGGTCACAGACTCTCTGCTGGCTGTTCCTAACACAACCCCATGGTGACCTTAGACTGATGAGACTGAGCTCCATTTCTCTGCTCCTGATGAGGTGTTATAATTCCTGTGTGGTAGTATTCTGAATATCTGCTGAAGGGAGCTTTTCCTCATGTGTGGTTCTGTTTTCCCCAAGGGACTCACCTTCACAGTGCTTATTATGCGTCACCCAGGTGAACATGTAGAAGTAAGTGACATATTTCTGTCTCGGTATTCTATATTTGCAGTAGATATAAATTGGTTTTCATTGATTTTTTTTTCTTTTTTTCTGTGTCAAAAAGACTTTGGTATTGATATTTGGGCAATTTCTTTTTGTTTTTTTAAGGTAGTCTCAGACCTATCTGTGCTGTCCATTTTGTATTGCAAGGCATGCTAGCATGAGTCTGAATCTTGAAATTATTTCTGTCTCTTCTGTCAGAAATGTTTGTATTCTCCCCTTGCCCTTCTGGAGGCTGCTTGAACACCTTGTGATTTGCACAGGACTCAAATAGAATCTGTCCAGCACAACATCTGTTTGGGTGTTTTTCCTAAATAATTTTAGGCAGCTATTCGTTGTTCAAGTGTTCTCCTCCTAGAAAGAAGTCAATAGTGTGACTTCCTCTCTCTCTTTTATCAGAGCTTTAATGCTTTATGTTTTAAAGATTAGGGTAAACGTAAGGAAGTTTCATAGAAAAAGCAATTAAATATGACAACCATTCTGAGTATTTTGAGATTTAATAGGAAAATGAGAGAACCTAGTGGACCAAACCTGAGACTGTATGTACTTCAGTATCTTGTTTTGTCTTCAGGAAAGACATTGTCAAGCAGCTCCATCTTACGTCAGTGTTACAAGTGCAGCTGTGCAAGACTGGTTCTTGGTAGATTTTGGTATAAACAGAGAACAGAGGTTGGTTCTTGTGTTGGAGGATTCCTAACAGGGATGGAAAATGTCCTATTTTAAGTTGTTCAGGCTTTGGCTACACATTAAAAATACCAGTGCTAAATACTTTATATGGATGTGAAAGCAGGGCTGCTGTCATCATATTCCTTATAGGATCTTCCTTTGTGTGCTTTGAATTCAGACAGTTTCCTTATAGGCATCTTACAATATCTGTTTATGGAACATGAGGTTGTTCTCACAGTGCTTTTGCCTTATTACATGATTTCAATAACATTTGTCTCTAGTGAAAACAATTGCAATTTTTTAACCTTTGTATAATAGTTTTTCATGCCTCAATATCTCAGTAACTCTCTTCTGAAGTTTTCTTTGTTCTGCAGTTATCCTGTTGGACAGAGTAAGAAATATTTCAAAGACAGACATAAAGAAAAATGTGTCTTTACTTTTCACTGTTCCTTTCTTTTTGGCTTTCTGTTGGCTGAAGAAAAGGCATTGATTTTAAAACAAACCCAAACTGATTTTGATAAAAGCTCCGTTTCTGTCACCCTGAAAGGAAAAATTTCAATTAGAAGGCTCTATCATGAAAAGAGTATTTTAAAGCCTGTTCTTCTTATTGATTCTTGTTATTTTACACTTACAACTTACTTAGGTTTTGATTTACCTTTGTTTATGTTTCATATAGTTAATTCACATTTCTATAATCCCTCTCAGGTTTTGATTAGTGTAAATCATTTTTTCAGTGTCCTACCCTGTCTTACAATCTCTAGTTCTGACCTGCCTTTTTCTGCCAACCAAACTACAACTCCTAATCCTGTTTTTGTAGACCCACCCTGTATCTGCCAGGTGTCAGCTGCAGTCACCTCCTTCAGATGCCTGAAACACCTCTGCCAGATGAGCTGGACCTCAGCAACTCAGTCTGCTGCTTTTCTTTTTATTTTTTTGCAACACTTTGTTTATGATACCACATCATAAAGATATGTGATGTCATGGTGCTAAAAGGAGACTGCAAAAAAAGCAGGTGAAGGTTAAGGAAGAGTGAAAATTCAGCTGCGGTGAATAAACTCAGTGAGTCCTAATGGGGCTGTTCCTCTAAAATCCAAGTGCCAGACATTCTTATTCTTTTGTGGGAAATTACAGCATTTTATTCAAATACATACTGGGTATGCATAGAAAATATTCTGTGCAGTCTACGCTCTCAAGGAACTGAGGAGCCACAAAGATGCTTTGCACGTCAAAGTCACAGGACTGACCTCTTCTGACAGCAGAAATAGGAAAGGTGTCAGTTTGGTCTCAGGTGTGTTTTGACAGGGGCTACTAAGCGTTTACCACAAACAGAGTTGCTGTACATTTCTTGATCCAGCAAAGAGATAGGACAAACACTCCATGGCAGAAAAAAGACAAAAGAACTTGGAGAAAATTTTTACAGTAGAATTGTGGCTCATAGCTGATCACAGTTACTCATGATCAACATTAAATCCAGTGAGTGCTGCACTGATGAGATCTGGTCCTGATTATGCTTCAGGACTTCATGGTGTAGAACTCTTGGCTAGAAAAAGGTAACAAAACTTCAATGCTTTTGAATCATCAGGTCCAATTTTAAACATAAAATAGAAGCCTGAAGATTAATTAACTATTTCTTTGGCAAAGGTCTGGGTCATGCAGGGCTGGATTGCAAAGCAAGGGGGGTTTGCATTTCCAGTTAACAGACGCTGCTGCTGCAGCTTCTAAAAACCATTTTGTGGTTGGGGTGTAGAGTTCCTTTCTGAGTGATTACCTGGGAGAGTGGAACAGATGCTCTCTGTTCAAGGCATTTGAGTTTTCATTGTCGTAACTACATGGAGGATTTGGGGCTGTGGCTTTATCCCTTTGGTCACTCACAAAGTTACTCTGTACCAGCGTGGCTGAGTCTCCTCAAGCTGCTTGAGGTCAGTTATGTAATTGCTCTTTGCAGATAAGAATTAATTAGCTTGATTATTTTTCATAGCTTTTGGATGGGTTCCCCACCTGGAGAGGAGCAATTCCTCTGTGTCAGTGATTGATTGCTGAGGCAGAAGCTTTCTGCCTTGCACTTTTAAGAAATGCTGACTGGTTCTTTGGGTCATGTTAGGAAGCAGGCCTGTGGTTAGAATGCAAAGGATAATAAAGCAGTTCTATAAACAAGCTGGCCAGCCCAGCTGCTGGGGGCTTTGGCTTGTGCACTGCTCATTTCCCTTCTCTCTGAGGTCAATAGCACATTAACAAGTGGCAGGTCAGGTAGCTGTGTTTGCCCTCCTTCTCCTCCTGCAAAAAAATGCATTCTTCTGAATGTCTTAGGCTTTTTAAGAGTATTGCATTTTACAGCTTTATTACTTAAAGAGGTGTGAAAGTCATCCATAAAGGAAAAAATGCTAACATTTGAGATACAGCTGTTTATTTTCTCCTGTTATTATTAAAGTCACTTCAGGAACTGTCTGGGTGTATCTAGGGAGCTTCCCACCATCCCAACCATTTGCTGTTTTCAATATTTTGCAGTAATTACACAGTGCTTTTTTAACACTTTTCCCTTGACCAAAATGCATTTGTGAGAAAGTGAGTAAATCACAGCATGAGTCCTGCTAAGTTTTACAGGTTGTTAAATTTAAGCACGTGAAGAGCTCCAGGACAGTTATTGGGATTACTCAAAAATGTGGCTGTGGGTTTGAGGCTGTGTCGGAGGAAGCTGTTACTGCTTACAAGGTGCTTCTCACTTGGGGAAAGGAAAAAAAGTGCTTGTCAGGTGCAGGGATATGGATGTGGGAAATCTTCATTCATTTGTGCAGGGTCTGGTATGTGAAGGGCTTATTTTGTTACATCACACATGAATGTTACTGAGGTGGTTCTGGCAATTAACTTTGTAGGATTTTGTTTAATAAAAATCAAATCTCACTGGAAGCCTGGGACACTTGCTCTAATAAAAAGATTATGGATAGCTCCTGATAGCTTTTAAAAGCTGTTTAATTGCTGGTTGTGTCAAAGTAAGCAATTAAGGTCACTTAATCTACTTGATTATTCATCATATTCCTCTAGTAGTACTTTGTGCTTGGGTTCTGTGAAAATGTGCATCTTGAGAAGCTGCTGCACTCATTCATAGCCCTCAGTACAGGCACATATAATAAGAAAACCCAAGAAAGGAAACTTCATTCTATGGCAACAACAATCTATGGCAGCTGTAAATTAATACCCTTGTGTTGTTACAGTGTGAGCTTCAAGGAAAAATGAAAAAGTCTAAAAATGTGTAGTCATTTAAAGGCAGGTTGGTCACATAAAACAGTATTAATGGATTAGCTCTTAGCTGTACTTACACGTTTCTGTTCAACTCAGGCCAGATTGTTCTAAGATTAGATGATACAGGTTCTTCATTCCTGTGATGTAGTCAGATGCTGCTGCATAATATGATGGGGACTGGATAACACTGGGCTACTTGGCATGAAGTAGAAAAATGTAAGAAGTGCTTTGAGAACTTGTTTAGTGACAGTGGCCATTGGAGAAGTTTAATCATCGTTGGGATGATTAAATTTTGATCAGTAGCTTCATTCTATCCTGAATAGTTAAGGTGGATGTAAGGCAGGCAGAGAAAAAGGCCTTTTGCTTTCAGTCAGCTGGCAGAGGAAAAAAAAAGTGTGAAAGAGGATGTATCTGCAGTGCAGCTCTGACATCAGGGCCAGGTTTTGTTTAGCTAGTGGATCTTTGGGGAACTCAGACACCCAGAACAGCACTGGAGAATGATCTGTAAGTGTGAGCTGTTCCCCACATGTACCTGATTCCTGCTCTGTGCAGCACGGACCAGACCTGCACATGGGCAGGTCGGGGTGACCTGTACCTGTGCTGTTGTGATCACAAAGAAAGTGACTAAATCTGCTCCAATTTAGAAAAACGTGGCCACAAAGATCTCAGCTGTCCTCTTGAAAGTAATGGAGCTTCTGACAATGGGGTCTGATGTTTGCTCTGCAGTGCTGCTCATGCAAAAGCAAACAGCCCTTCTACTGGTGTTCAGTTCCTATTCACAGAGCAACTTAGTGATGGTGGGACCCTTGAAAACAGATTTCAGTGCAGACAGACTGCAAAACTTCAGCATTGCTCTGTTCTCTGTGCTGTTCTGTATGAACAGGACAGAATTTATATCAGCTTTGTGAATTCAGTACTGCTTGTTATTAATGAATTAATACAAATTAAGAAAGCTGTGATTCACATGACGGAAAACGGTGAAGTAGCAGCAGTGCCTTTAGCTTCGGCAAACTGAGCAACCATCAGAGTGATGAAAAGTGCTGCTGGCCTGATGGAAATTCAGCTGCTGCTCTCCCATTCTGCCGGTTTTCTCCCTCTGCAGGTGTGGGGCGTGTGAGGAGATGGCAGTCCATGGGCAGTTCCAGCCAGCAGACCCTCAGGATCCCAAACCGATTGTTAGCAAAGCAGGCACAACATTTCTGTAGCCAGCAGAGCCAAGGCATAAAAACAAGCTGAGAATCAGGGAGTCATAACTGGCTCTCTGATGCTCCACATTTTCTGTGCCAAACATATGTTGGTATAGAAGAGAGTCTGATTCTAAATACCAAAGTGTGGGCAAGATTTAACTAAAGTTTTCTTTAAAAGAAACCAAAGCTCTAAACTGTTGCTATATTTTACTGCATCTGCTGTGCGTATGAGATTGTGTAAATGGACTGAAGCAGTATGGAATTACGTTGTAGCTGCCTATGAGAAGTGCTGATATAATCCTCATGATAAAAGTAAGGTTTGCTGTCACTTTGCAGGCAGGAGCTACCCTGTTCTTTTCCTGAGCATTCACAAAATAGTTCTACAGTTGAAGATCTGTTGACTCAAATGTGTAAACCCAGAAGTTTCAATTTCAACTTTACTGCTGGATGTTTGTTAGCAGGCTGTTTTTTGTGTGAAGTGTAAAAATGTTTAATGTCTTCTGCATTCACAGAACAGTTTGGGTTGGAAGAGACCTAAAGTGCATCACATTCCCACCCCCTGCCATGGGCAGGAGCACCTTCCACCAAACCAGGCTGCTCCAAGCCTCATCCAACCTGGCCTTGAACACATCCAGGGATGGGGCAGCCACAGCTTCTCTGGGCAGTTATTTTTATTAATAAAAATTAGTAAGTTTCAGTACTGTAAAAAACCCAAACAACACAACCCTCTTCTCAACAAACCGTGGTGACGTTATGGTGACATGTTAGCAATAGCTAATGCTGGTTAATAGGCACGAATGCATTTTAGCACCCTCTTTGCAGTTTATAACCAAAAGTGTTAAATAGTTTACTTTTCCGTTTTGACAGTGCCTGCTCCTGTAACAGTGAGTGTTTGAATCAGGTAAAACACTTTCATTGAAGATGCTGTGTTTGACGAACTGTGTACAACTAATGCCATTTTTGGTAGCCTGTGACATTTTCAGGTGGAGCTTGGCTGTGGATTCTGAGTGTTGCCATGCTGTTTGCTACCTGTGCCGTTCCCTCCTGTGTGCCGTGTCCTGGGAGCAGCGGCACTCAGCGCTCGGTGTCCGGCTGTTCGTGTCAGGTCACTCGCTCGCTCCTTGTGCCCTAGTTCCTCTGAGAAAACCGGGGCTGAGCCGAGGTGTGTGCACAAATGCAGCCTGCCTTACCTGCAACTTGTACATTTTCCATGGGTGTTACAAAACTGTGACAAGGCGCAGTTACCTTTAGGTTTAAAATGACCCTCAGAAAGGTGTCAGATATGTATGAGGCATCAAACTCACAGCTTTACTTTTATTTGTTAATAATATGGTATTTTGAGGCTAATTTTGAGCAGTTACCCGGCACTCTCCCAGTGGTTCTTGCTCACCCTCTAGCACGATTTGTCTGCTTGTATTTATTCCATTCTCGATTCTTCCCCCTCTCCCCCCGAGGCCGGTGCCGTTCCTGAGGGCGCTGCTGGCAGGTGCGGGGCCCTGGTCCCCGCCGGAGGCTGCAGGTGCCCGAGAGGGAGGGAAGGGAGTGCGGGGACCGGT